AGACTGTTAAATTAACCAATGAATAATTACTAATCATATAGAAAGGCATTACTAATCATATAGAGAGGCTGGCTTATGAAAATAGATAAAAAGGASYTTGTATYAGAAATAAACGGATCATGCTCATCATATTGGTGTCTGCGTGACCGGGAGCCCCGTCGCCCAGAAGAACTGCAGTTACTGGTACACAGAAATAAGCTTAAGTGATGTTTTTACTGGCACATTTTCCTGTTACAATTGAAGAGAGGGGTGCTAACAGCAAAAAAAAAAAAAATTAAAAAGTATCCCACCTTAAGACTACACATTCCACTAAGTTTTAAAAAATTGAAGCCATCCCTCCGCTGTTCCTTTAGTTGAGCAGAGGAGCGTTCAGCTCACTGTCACTCAGGCAGCTCTGAGCTGCACAAGGTTTCCCAAAAAAACATAAAGTGCATTACACATCAGATTTTACAAGCAAATACCGATTTTCCCCTCCACTTACGATCTCTGTGAGTTTGCAGTTTCACTGGGCACATTCATTTCCAAATTGACCCTTCACTGAAAACCCCTAATATTGAAAATCCCCTAATTAATGGTCCATGGAGCAGTAAAATGGATTAAAAGTTAGAAATCCTCTCTATTTTGCAGAAGGAAGGCAAACAGACTGCTGAGAGAGAAGAGGAAGTGACTCAACACAGTCAATTCAAAGTTTAAAATTTGATGCACTTGTTACAACTGCACATAAAACCCTGATTTTTTGTGGCTCTTCATGTTTTTCCCCTCTCTTTACTGCCTGAAAATGTCATTGTTTTTAAGGCTGAAATGCCAGTGAGCAAAGGAAACCACAAAAACTAAGTGCCACACAAAGCAAGGTTACAAATAGAAACCCTGTAAGTACCTCAGCATCTCTGTATTATTTAGCCACTTGTAACAGCAATAGCTGGGTACGTTTCCTTAAAAATAGTTTTGTTTTGTTGAGGTTTTTTACCTGATGGGGTTTTTTTAGTTATTTTGGTCCTCTGTCTCCAAAATTAAAATTTTCAGCTTCTACAAGAGTTAAGACAAAACACAAAGAGCACTTAGGAAGAGCTGTAAGTGAACAGAGGCACATTTTCCACCCATATTCCAAACCTGTGCCTGTGGGCAGCAATGCTGAAGGCATTTTGCCTTGGGAAATTTAATGTGTAGTTACCAAGCAATCCCATTCCTACCCGTGTGCCAAAAACCTCCTTGCATGGATTCTCACTCCTCCAAACCTACATAATTCCTCGTCTGGTAATGGCCCAGTGTGATTTCCAAAGAGATATCAGAGTAAGGGAACAGCGTGATTCCCAGAGATATCCCAAAGGTCAGGAACTCTAAGGATGAGCCAGTGGGAGTTTAGTAGGAGTTCCACTGTCCAAGCAAAACAGTTGCTTAAGGAGGAGAATTAAGGAGATGGGTCACCAAAAAATCGGTTCCCCTGCAAGGGGTGAGGAGCTGGGAAAAAAAACCACACATGAGGAAAAATCACACGTGAGGGGAAAGAGCAGCCAAAACTTTTCCTACAACCAGTCTAAAAACCACCCCAAAAAAGCAGTGAAGGCATGGGAGGGAAGAAATTAACTGCAAAAGTTAATTCCATAGTGTAGCGGGGGAAGAAATAAAACCTATTTAGAAGAAGGCAAAAAGGCGGCAGCCGTGAGCGGGTCGGAGACAGACAATAATTCGGAGTTCCCCGAGCAGACATCCGGGTGTCTCTCACGGAGGGTAACGGTCCCGCTCACCCCGCGGCCCCGGRGGGCTGCGATGGCCGTGGGGCTCTACTCTCAGAGCTGAGGGGGACTGTGAGGGGTGGGGAAAGGGTCTTTGAGGGCTGCGATGGGGTTGGGGGAGGTCTAAGGGGCAATGATGGCCACGGAGCTGTGAGGGGCTTGTGGGGGGTGCAGGCTGTCGGGAGGCTCTGAGAACCAGGGGGGAGGCTATGAGGGAGCTGTGAGGGGCTCCGATGGCCATGAGAGCCGGGGTGAGGCTTTGGGGGGTTCTGAGGGGCAGTGATGGCCATGGGGCTGTGAGGGGTGCAGGCTGTGGGAGAGCCCTGAGGGGCTGTGTGAGCTCTGAGGGGCTGGGGAGTGGCTCTGAGAGCCAGGTGGGAGGCTCTAAGGGGCTCCGATGACCATAGGGCTGTAAGTCAGGGTGAGGCTGTGGGGGTTCTGAGGGGCAGTGATGGCCACGGGGCTGTGAAAGCTAGGGGGGAGGCTGTGATGGCCCTGGGGTTTGTGGGAGCCGGGATGAGGGGACTCTGAGGGGCTGGGAGCGCTGTGATGGCCGGGGGCTGTGGGGGCTCTGAGCAGCTCCGAGAGCCGGGGGGAGGTGCGCGGCGTGAGGCGAGGGACGGGCTGAGGGTGCGCGGGGAGCTCTGAGGGAGCTCCGATGGCCATGATGGGGGTGCGCGCCGAGCGGCACCGGCGGACGCGACCCCCGCGGGGGGCACGGGCGCGGCCAGTCCCCACCGAGCGCGGCAGAACCGAGCGCAGCGAGCACCTCCCTCGGACGGTACCTGGATGGATGGATGGATGGATGGACAGACGGACGAAGAGGCGGGCGGGCGGGCGGATGGCGGTCGGTTGCAGGGCGGGCGCCCGCCCGGTCGGTGCCGGGGCCGCCTTTCTCCGGCGGCTGAACCCGGCCCGCGAACGGCGGGAGGCGGCGCCCCCGCCCCTGTGCCGGGAACGGGGGATGGGGGCGCTGCGCCTGCGCGGGGCGGCCTCGGGCGGCGGCGGCGGCGGGG